TTCACCTGTGGCGCCAGCTTGTCCACAACGTAACCTCAAAGGTTCTACCTCTTCGACCGCTCAAAGGTGATTGACTGAACCGATTAAGCCGCCACTACATAGACCCAAGAATTTCCAACCACGAGCAGAAATACGGGCGAACGCTGTTGCGCACGTTGTTGTATGGGCAGGGTACGTCCTACCGTTGGAGAAAATTCCGCAAAATATACGCTCGACATTTCGTATTCTGGTGCGACCCTCTTTCCCGTGCCACATACCATCTTCCTGAGTTCCTCAATTTCCTACCTTTCTTTTCGATTTTTTTCCTTATAAAAATTCTCGACGACTCTTAACACACTACCGCCGAGAGAGGCAGGAGAGGGGGCTGGTACGTAGCGCATTTGAGACAGGAAAATCCGTGAAGAGTTATCAAACGAGAACATTTTCCTCGGCGGCAAGAAAGACCTTCCCCTCCCTCCCCTCCAGCGATCATATACGACCTCCTCGATAGGAGTCTCCAACGAACAAGCCCTTCACCTGCTATCTCTATCTTCTCTTCCCTCCTGCTTTCACTACCTTCAGATTCCTTGTCCAGGACTAAAAATCGACAGGAACGTCACCTCTAGGGAGTTCCGGATATTTTCAGCTGCCTTTTTCTACGCCTAAGAACCCCATAAGAGAACAAAGGAGCCCGCGCTCCATGCTACTCGTTCGTTTTCCGCTGGGGAGTGGACTTTCAGAGCGGCGTTCGGAGGCGGAACCACTGAGAAGAGGAGGTGTCACTGGAGTATCCCTCCAGTGACCCTCTAGAACTGTCACTTGAGTATCCCTCCAGTCGCCCTCTAGTAGCCCTAGCGCCTTACCTTACAGTTTTCCGAGTTGATAAGTAATAGTAATAAGTACAAGGTTCTCCATTTAAGACCACATTAGCTTTCTCACACAATCCTTTTCATTTGCATTGGTCATCGTGACCATTCCTTCAAGCTAGCCATAATTCGTGCATCCATCTTGAACCCACCAACCATGGCCTAAACTGCAAAATGGGTCTCCAACTAGACGTTCAGTAGATGTGCAGGCTTTCGTCATGCTCTAGTGAGTATAACGAAATGGAATTAAGGAGAGAAAAAGTGCACTACCCAGAAGAATACTCATAAATGCTTTATAATGGAAGAGATTACCGACTCCGGGAATCGAGTTAGCGCAGCCTTTAAAATGCTTTTAGAGTGAAAACGCTTTGAATAGTAGTAAGCTTCAGGAATAGCAAGAACGTGATAAAAGAAGAGAAATTAGTTATGAGTTATTATAGCGGAATCATAGTGTGGCTCAACATTCATTGTATCATTACGTGTCGTTAGGATCAAGAATTTTTTTGAATACAGCGGTAAAAAAAAACCTGGAAGAGACGAAAAAATCGGAATTTCAGTTTTCGAAATCAGTAAAAACGACCTTGAGCAAACAAAAAGTATGAGAGATCTAGTTTCCGGCACTCAAGGTCAACATCCGGATGACAAAATGACCAAGTAAAGGCCTCCAAGTAACCCCATTGGGCATCTCTTAGATTACTTGACGCATGAGTCAAAGTAAAGAAGACCACCAACACGAATGAGCAGTTCCATGAACAGTTTGGTTAATGTGGAGTTGAATTCCGTTGTTACCCCTGAAACTCCTGCGGTGTCAGTTCCACGGATGATGAAGGCTCTAATCAAGTCCAATAGTAAGCAAACCGAATTCCGGGTGCATAATAGTTTTCCCTGTTGAGTTCCCGTTTTCTGCTCACCTTTCCATCTTTTTGCTGTTGAATAAGAGCTTCAAGACGGTTTGAAACGCAATTTTTTTGGCTTGTTCCAAGCTTTTTTGTTCGCAGCCTAAGTCTGGAGTAAGAAATGAAACGACGCACAACAGTTCCCTCAGAGCGCCGGTTGCCGTTAGGGCAACTGTTGCTTAAAGGAGCGTAGTGTGCTGGCGGTCAGAAGAAACAAAAAACGAAGAAAGGAAGAAGGTGACCATGAAGAAGGAAAAAAGGTTCTCAAGCAATGATGTTCAAATTTTTGAAGCTGTTTCATGATGACTGCTGTTTTGAAGCTATTTTGTTATGATAACTGCTGTTTGAAGCTGTTTCATTATGAAAAATAAAACAAACAGCTTCACAGCAGTTATCTTAACAAAACAGCTTCAAAAAATTGTAAAGCCTTCCACCTTGCGGTTCCATGCTAGCGCTAGCTAGCTGATATCTAACGATTACGGCTGACCGGCTCACCAAGTTAAACGTGTGAGTGCTGTAAGGTTACGGCATAAGCCGTTAAGCTGAGAGGGTAAAAGCGGCCCTGGTGGCGTAACGGATAGCGCACTCGCCCGGAAAGCGTGAGGTGCGGGTTCGACTCCCGCCTGGGGCACGACTTTTGCCCACAACTCAGCATTCTTGTGATGTTCACAATGTCATGTTATCGACTCGATGGCCTCCAAGACAGGTCCCACTTTTGATAGAGTGCAAGTCCGGAGCAGTACCCCGTTTCACATACTCGGATGCTAACAAGAATAAGGAAGTGGTGTGGTCACGAGAAACATTATTCGTCTATCTAGTGATCCGAAGGAAGTACATTCCGGGCACAAAGATGGTCTTTGCCGGCATTAAGAAACCCGGTGAACGTGCCGATCTCATCAAGTATATCGAAGTGGAAGGTGCCAGCCATCAATTAATGAAAAAAAAATGATGGTATAGAGAGATGTCGGTAAGAGGGTTGGAATTTTGTGCAATAGAGTATTAGTTTGCTCCTCAGAATTCGTCCAAGATCATAGTGAGTACAAACGCTGCACAGGAAACGTGCTACAAAGAAAAGAAATTGCATCTCTTCAGCTGTTTTGAATTCATATGGCGGAGGCGCACTGTTCGTGAATAAATTGTTATTTTCAACTCAAAGAACACATGGTACGCTCAAAACACATTGAGGGTTAGGTGCTATGGAACTATCAGCCCCCCCCCCCCCCCCCCCAGCTGTCGATGTGTCGTGGTCCCCCGCCCAAAACTGCACGGGGTCAGAGTACGGGGCCGTGGGAAAGTCGTAATTCCTTGCTACACCGCCCATTTCGCAAACTCACGTTTATGCTTCAAAATCCAAATAGAGGGTGATGAAGATGACAAAGGCTAGAAGAACGAATGTAGATGCAAATAAGACGAAATTGAAAAAAAAGCTAAGGGAATTAATTTAAGATTTAAGATTGATTTAATTTATTCAATTTAAGGGAATAAAATTAATTAAAATTGCGTGTTCATTCTGCGATCAGGCTCGAATCCAGCTCCAAAGCCATAGAAATACTAACGAGTGGGACGCTTAGGCCGTTTTTATTTTCATGTTTCGTGGAAATGCGCGGCCTCCGAGGGATATTGCAGAAGCAGCACAGTTGCTCTTGAGTTCTAGCCCTCGTCATCATCTTCGGTTCTTATTTTGCAGCACCTAAAATGTTATCCGCATAAAGAAATTGCGTTGTACTTGTATTCCAAAGCGCAATTACAGGACTTGGCAAAAAGCCAAGAGAGCTGCACGCGACCGCGCCGCGCGGACGGTGTTAGCATAAACGTGAGTTTGCGAAATGGGCGGTGTAGCAAGGAATTACGACTTTCCCACGGCCCCGTACTCTGACCCCGTGCAGTTTTGGGCGGGGGACCACGACACATCGACAGCTGGGGGGCTGATAGTCTCATACACCCTCAATGTGTTTGAGCGTACCATGTGTCTTTAAAGGCAGTTCCCGCGACTGCACACCATAGGTAATATGTACAGTTCAGAAATAGGACTGCCGTGGGCTAGTTGACTAACTAAAAAAGTAGAAAGCACTAAAAACCGCCCACAATAAGCAACCGCAACCATACACTGAGAAGAGGGGAGAGAGACCAGAAAACGGCGGGCGAGGACCACAATGGCATCATTATGATAGCATATCATAATTACGAGCGACGTAGGCCGGCATGGACCTATTCGGCGCCCATGGGCCTAAAACCTGCCCACCCTGCGTTTTTCTTGCCAGTTTTCACCTTTTCAATGTAGCACAGCCTCTGCGGTTGCCTACTTGGCCATACTGCACTTTCAAGGACCGTACCTTTAAGACCACATAATCCTTCAGCAGCTCATCCAAGTACATGAGAATGGAGGGATGCGTTGAGATCCCACCTTGTTTCTGTGATAGAAGCTGCACTACAGTCTTTCTGCCTGCGTCATCCGAACGTAATAAATCTCTTGAAGGCATATAAGGCACGATAATTTGATACTCGGTCTAAAATGGTAGCAGGGGTGCTATATAGTGGGAAAATGGCGAAAAAGCGAAGTGAAACAGTCAAAAACCTGCAAAAAAGCCTTCATTCTACACGACTCAGGAAGCGATTTCGGGTTTCTCGTTGGCATCGTGCCAATAGCCGCTACGATAGATACGACTGCATGTATACTCGAAATCCCTGAGATCGGGTAGGCGTGGCTGCGTACTTGATTTTAAAATGGCGGCGGCCCAGGTTTTCGTGAGATATTTTCATTTGGAACAGTCGTAATCATGTCTACATCTAACACAGAACAAGATAGCAGTTGTTTCAAATTGAAGTATCCCACGAGTAACCCGTCCTATGCCATGCTCAAAAGCCACGCCTACTCCGTCTCAGGGATAAGGAGTGTAGTCATATGTAGCTCGCTCACAGTCGCTTCATATCAATATCTTGATTTCATATTGTCCAGGGCACATCGTTGTTGGGGAATCCCAATAGGGGGGGTCGTACTTGGTCATTTTTGGGAGGGGGGGGTCGTATTTACGTTTTGGCGTTGTAGGGAGAGGTGGTTGACTTTTGGTGATTTTCCTGTTTTCCTGTTTCATGCGTACTATATGCCCCCCGCTCGACGGCTCGATTCGATGAGGAAGGACAGAGGGCTGGGGGGGGGGTCGTACCAACTCCCAAAAAAGGGGGGGGGTCGTACAGACTCGACTAAAATCCCCAACCAATGATGTGCCCTGTATTGTACTTGGCAAATGGAGCGATACGAGCATCAGCATTGATCGCCTGCTCAGGGGCGCCGAATTCTGGCCTGATTAATCCCACACGTCCAGGTTATTTATCGTGCCACTTGCGTTCATTGTTGAATAGCGGTAAGAATGAAGATTCGATTCAGGAATTCAGGGATGAAGAGATTCCATACAATCGCTGGAAAAGGTGATCTTTTGAATTGTTCAATGAGGCAGTAGCTTATGAGTAAGACCCGAGGGTTCAACACTTATGGTCAGGAGTGCTAAGAATCAGTTCCGATGAAGCATTGTGTTGATAAACAATGCAAGATTTAGGCCCATAGCAGAGAACAGGCTTTCAAGTGATGTGTGCTGCCGTCGTGCACATAAACCACGATAACTACCGATTAAAAGCACTGACGCAAATTCGGTTCTCTGCATAAAATTGAAGGGGAAGGGTTAAATAGTGGAGAAACTGAAGCAAAAGGGACGAAACAGCATAGGTCGGAGAGAAATCATCGTTGGGCAGCAGTCAATGCAGAAAATCACGGCTATTCCAATAGAACTATAAAAAAAAACAAAATGTCAAGCGACCACCATCGAGACAACATGAAAAAACCCTCATACAAGAATAACGATACACAGATGGCATCATCTTTCGGTGCCGGGCAAATGTCTGAGGATTACACTTCTTATTCCTGTGACGGAGTAGGCGTGGCATTTAAACTTGGCATCTGAATGGGCTCCTCATAGAATCTTTCA